TTATGGTTACAGACAAATGTGATCCAGTGTCTAAGATGGTTAGAAGAATTCTTGCTGGAGTTATCCAATCAGAACAGAAGACCACAGTAAAGATCATGCTAGCAAGCACAAGAATCATTAACGGCCATTTTAATGGCCACAAAAATATTTCGAAAAGCTGCTACTATTGCACAAGATTTGAAACAAAATATAATCATATTTAAATGAGAGTAAATTAAGTCATTGAAGCGTTATTTTTTGAAAAAAATAATCTCATAATCGCAATGGTGAGTGCATACTAATTGAGCAATGCATGTTAGCATGAAATCTGCACAAATCGCTGCGGTTATGATACTGTTATCTTTAAAAAAATAATGATTTAATTGCTTATATCTACATTTTTTTCGATTCCTGTCTTGTTTGCAAATGTTATTGATAGTGTTGTCACGATGATCGATTTTTAGTCGAAGATCAGTTGGGAAAGTTGTTGATTTATGATAGTCGAATCAAATTTGCATAATCAATAAAAATTGATTTATTTCATTACTACTATACTTATAGTTTTGTTAATATAATGAACCAAAAATGTTGCAAACTTTTTTTTTTAATCTTGAAAAATATGTAACGCTTAAAGTGATAGTAATACAGTATACCTCTCTTAATCTTTAATAGGTGCATATGGCGCTAAATCTAGTGCCCCATTTTGAAGCATTTAATGCCAATTGTTACCGATTTGATCATTGGGCGATGATCAATTTGTTAGAATCAACCAAATCTGCCGATTAATCGCTTATGATGTTCAACCGATTTGACAACACTAGTTATCCATACCTCATAATTCCTATTTAATCCTGCAAGTATGTTCAGATGAATGGAAGAACCACTGTTATAGCTACGACGTCAAAATTTTGATGTCAAAATAAAACTCACAACTTAACCTTTGAGGACTATATATTATTGCAGTCTTTTGAATTTTGTAGCTTTTCACACATTTTACATACAAAAAATATCTGAAATGTTAATATTTTTTTTTTATTTTCACCATTAAAGGTAAATGTGTTAAAAGTTCATGATGGCCACCCTATAAAATATTTCAGCTCAGATCCAAAAAATTTTCAAGAATTTTACTTTGTGAATTGAATACATTTAAGCTTTTTTGTTTTTGTATTTATTTTTATGAAAAAATAGAGGGGGGGGGGGCTGTCTGGGTCCCCCTCTAGTTCTGCGCATCAGGTAGGCTTAAAATGAATGAATGGAAAATTCAAAAAAACAAACAATCAAATTACTGTGGCCTAATGCTAATCAATGATACGATTAAAAACACTTTTCTCATTTGGTGACAGATTTATTCAATATAAGCGGAAGGAAGCATACAATTCAACATGAAAATAAACAATGTACATCATGGGCACCGCTAAGCGGAGCATCCCCTCACAAAATGAAATGGTATTTATAGAATAAATAAGCACATGAGGAGACCAATTGAAATTTTCTGTGGAGAATCAGGGTATTTCACACCAGACATATTATTACGCATACATAAAGACAATTTGATCAACACAAGTATAGCCAAAATTCTCTTGCAATGAACACACACACGCACACAATGTAACACACACAAGTTACACATGGGGATAAAAATTAAATTCAATGCATTATCACGTCAATATACACATTAATTTTTCACAAATATTTACAAGTATTATAATTATTCTCCTTCCCCAGAATATGAAATTATGAACCAAAGCTAGAGTAATATACCATATTTCTATTATATCATCTTAAGTTTGAAACCTATTCTTATACTGTATAAGCAATTAAATACATATCTCATTTTAAAAAATCATATTGTCATCTTAACCTAGGAAAAAATAATAAAAAATTTTTAAGACTCAAAATTACAGACAAAATATGAGTAAAAAAGTCAAATGAACCTAAAATAAGAGACACATTGTATCAAGAGGCCCGATCAGAAAAGCTCACTTGAGCCTTCGGCTAAGGTGAGCTAAAAATTGCTGGTATCTTTTGAATTTGACCTTACCTCAGTTTTTTTTTTCATTTAAATTCTAATACCATCAGAATAACCTATCTTTCTTGTAGCTAACTCTAAGAGTGTTAAAAGCTATTTTTGAATTTGAAACTGTTGATTCTGTATTTACCCCATATGTAGTACAGCATGTAAAGTATCTGTTCGGTTTAAGAGTTATATGACCAAGAGCACAATGTACAGGTTGTTTTTCTATGGCCCCATCTTCACATTTTTTTTTCATGATTTTATGAAGCAAATGATGTAGAGGTACTAGTAGCACAGCTTCAGGCTCGTAGAACGCGGGGTTAGGGGCGCCCCTTTTTTCCAAGTACATTGTATAGTATTTTGCTACAGTAAATTTCCCCTTTGATGTTGTTTGCCTCCCCCCCCCCCAATTTTTGCAAATCCCAAAGTTTGGACAGTTAATTTTTTTCTGCTTGTCAGATAGTTTTCTACTTGTAGTTAACCAGTTATTTTGGGGTAGTCAGCTGAAGACAGTGGACTTTGTTCTAGTGAGTATCTAGGTGGTAGATAATGGTAGTCAGTGGGAAGTTGACCCTCCCCCCTTTTTTGTCAGTTAATTTTTTTTTTTTTTTTTTGCTTGTCAGATTTTAGGGGGAAGCCCCCCCCCCCCCAATTTGCTACGGGCATGAGCTTAGCATTCATGCCTTACGGGTATTTTTATTAAAATCAAAATATTAGGGGGTTAAAAATGAACAGGAATTTCAAAATTCAAGTACACTATTAATTAGTAGCATTGAATATGAAAATGATGAAACAAGAGAATGATTAAATTATTAATCTCTCTCTCTTTCTCTCTCTCTCAGAAGGAATTTGGGAATAAACATACTTAGTTCTAAATTAAAATAAGATTCATAGTACTCATCTTTAATTAGCTAGGATTTTTTTCCAATCATTCATAAGCGTTTTACAGGATTCGACTGAGTTATTTCTTAAATAACATTTCAGCCCCTGTGTCTTATTTATTCCCACTGTAATCGTTACCTTTTGTCCCCACTTTTCGTTCATTTATGATGTTTAGAACTATCTTCGATCATCTGTCTTCACATCGACTTCGAAGTTAATTAGAATCTGTTCATTACCCAACTCAATATAAAGTACAACACCAAATCAAGGGTTTAGGGAAAGGAAAGATAAAACTGTTATGGACAGATGATTTGAAATGCTTTCAGAGAGGCAAACATTAAAGATTGATTTTAAACATTTCTATGAGGACGACCGAAACGTAAAAAACGGAGTTTTGTTTATTTTGCACCATTTAATCAATCAACCCTACCAAGCCAAACAAACTGATTTTAGTAGTTTTAAAGTACAAGTACGTATTTTCTAGAGATATTATCATTTTACCTTTTTTAATGGCTGACAAGCAGAATAAACAGCATGAAATTCTCTGATGTTTTATCCACGATATTGGCAAAACAAATTAAAGACTAACATTGGAATTACCACATAACAACTCTAAGTGCTAGTTTTAGTTTACCTGAGCTGAGAGGTCATCAAGTGAACTTTTCTGATCACATTTTGTACATCTGTCTGTTTGAAAAAAAATAACACTTTGGATTTTTCTTATAGAACTATTGGGCCAATTTGCCACATAAAATTCTTACATGTAGGTGAAGGGGATTCAAGTTTATTCACATGAAGACTGATGCCCTCTTTCAAGTATAGATAATCAAGAATAACTGGAAATGTGGTACAATGTAGCATCTTTTAAATCTTCTTTTCAAGAAGCACTTTAGATGAACTTACATGAAAGCTTCGTGACATAGTGAATATTCAAGTTCCTTCAAATCAAGGCACCCTGATGGTAGGGTGTGGACACAGCAGTAGATCAAATTGAAAGTTTTACATGGAAATATATAGGGAAAAATCTTTTCAACTCTTCTTTCCAAGATCAGCAGGGCCATGCCAATTGATATCTGGTTTTCAAAATAAATCGGCTTGCGATACATTGTCAGATTGGGGCACAGGAACCTAACGTTACTTATTTGCTTATAATAAAAAATATATATATACCCCCTACTAATAATTATTAGCAGGGGGTATATGTTTTTTATTATATGAAAATAAGTAATGTCAGGTGTTGTAGCTTGGGGCTAGAAAACACACAAATCGTCAGATTTCACTAAGCGTAGGAAATCCTAAACCTCTCTTTCCACATATGCCATTATTGATAAGCATGAAAGCCTAATTGTATGGAGAACTATGAACATGCATAAAATCGCCACTCTAGGAAGCCATATTATGGATGTCTAAATATTATACCTGAATGACTAAATATAATTTCATCAATTATTCATATGATATCGAAGAAATTAAATTGCACATTTGATGTATTGACCTGTATGGAAGAATTATTTTGTGCCTCAGGCCTATATATATATATATATATATATATATATATATATATATATATATATATATATATATATATATATATATATATATCATATATATATATATATATATATATATATATATATATATATATATATATATATATTCACCATTTTCCCCCCCAAAAAAGATAATATAATAAATATATGATAACAATACAAAATAAATAAAAAATTTTAAAATATATGAAAAAATAATACCCAAAGCGAGCGACAAAAAAAAAAAAAAAAAAAAAAAAAAAAAAAAACGCGACGTAAATCGAAGGTTTTTACAACTGACGCTTGGATCTTGCTTCATCTATCCGAATTTTCTCAAGCAGAAAGCTACAGTTCTGCAGCTAATCTGGCCTATAAATACACGAGTTGATGCATAGAAATGTATGTTATGTCTAGCAAATGATGAGAGATCATTACATGATGAAAGAGCAAATCTATAATGCTTGAAAAATTGATTAAATTCTATTAAGGACTAGGTGTTACCATCAAAGTCCACGTCGTTATACTGAATCTCATGGCACTTCAGAGATTTCAAATAGTTTTATTTTTTCTCTCTTGGAGTGTAAATGTTAATTCTTCAATAGAACAGGAGACATGGAACGCAATGGATGCCATGAATGATATATTCACCCAATCACATGTTTTTTACCATCGTTCAGATGTTGCATGCACTGAATGCGCTATACAGACAAAGATAATGGACGGAAAATCTTTTTCTTGTCATCATGAAAACCAGACGTGTTTGATTTACAGTACTTGTCATGTGAAAAATCGTCTATTGACATCAGAGTGGAAGCCAAGTAAAGGGTGGAAACATTTCTGTACAAGTAAGCAGTCATTTATACAGTTTGTCTAATTCTTCATATTTAATCTCTCGGAGTATCAACATTATGAGAATTCGATACAAACAACCGACCTCAGAGAGATCCTTATATTACATCTATTTTGTACTTTGGTGAATATTATCCTGTGCAATGTGTACTTTGTAAGAATATTTAGAAGCAAAATGATAATTGATGTGCAAAAATGAAAAATGCAGCTCATTACAGATATGATAAAATTCAAATTACAATAAAGCACTTTTATAGCACAAAATAATAATAAAAGAAATAAAAATTAAGAAAAATAAGAAAATGGTTAACACATTTGACTTTCATGAATTTAAAAATGGCACATTACATTAATTTGATATTTTAGCTGTTCATATAATTACTTTCGGCGGTGATCCATGGATTGACTTAGGCACTCTAGTAGGAAGAAGAACATCAATTCGATTAAAGGTAAAGACGACCAGGGACGCTTACGTTGGACTCGCGTCTGGGAATACCACGGTTAATTCTGGATATTGGATTGTACTGGGAGGATGGGCTAATACAAAATCCTGTCTTCGAGACGGATTTGTTATCGGAGGCACCTGCTACTCGACATCCATAGCATCTCATCTTAGCGGCGCACAATTTACAAATTTTTGGATCAAGTGGCAGTCAAGTCGCATTGAAGTAGGACTCGGTGAGATATTTGGCCGTGAAACAATATTGGACTATACTTTTCCAAAAGTTTATCAGATCAATAACCTGTTACTACGAAATGCTCATAGTTCGCAGGCTGAATGGATCATTTATTTGTGACAGAACCATCGTTTTTCGTTGAAAATTTAAACTTTAAATATATATTTTTTTCATTGTGTAAACCTGAAAAATATGTCACAATACACTTAAATTTAGCAAGCTATGTACATGTAGTTATAAGGCAGTATTAGAGGAATTCATTTCTCAAATTTGACGAATGTCCAAACAATCAATATATCAATTACAAGGCATTCGATCTTCTAGTATTTTTTTTTTATTTGATGGTTATATTGTAATTTTTATGTCCCCCCGGGAGTGGATATGTCAGTTTTGATCATTAATTTGATCCGTATTTAAAAGTGCAAGGATGTGTCAATCAAACGCGTCCCACAATTCGTAGTTTTAATAATTTCCAGTTAATATAAGTTTCTAAGCACGTACGATTTTGTGTGAAATGTACGAAAGCCCATTGAGCTCATGCTCTAGCATCATATAAGTTATATTATATTGAAATTTTTAGAAATATGTATCCAGGCCCCTTTAATAGAATGGCACTACAGTTCTCTCTCTCAAAAGGCTGCACTGGAGATTTTTACCAAATCCAATACAGCTGAAGCTGTGATTTCTAGTTGCCCGGTGTAAACAAAATAGACCGCATTGACAATCGGTTGAGATGAACCTCTGTTATTTCTTTCCATTTCACATACCTGTTTTCAAAGTACGGAGTTACGGAACATAATGCACCTCGATGAGCATAGAGAATTCATCAACCACTTAACCACAACGTCACAAATCTTCATATGCAATGTTCGTATTATCCCGGCAATTAAAGTGAATCATTTGATCGAGTGTTAATTTTGCATTTTTGCCCATTGACTGAGTTTCGTTTGGGACTGATTACCATCATGGAACTTTCACAGAATATTTATTTACATACTGCCAAGAAATGCACTTTGCCGTAATTATACTCATATGTGAGCATTTTGTGAGCTCTGTGCTCACAGTACCTCTAGTAGATTTTACACAGTATATTTATAAATAATAATACCTTGTGTATCATAATTGCCAAAATTAAAAGAAAGTCCTTTGATTATTTTTAAGAGATCGGACTAAACAGGTATTGCTTTTATATTGTGACATAACAGATGTGGAGTTTTTGTGCGTTACAAAGCGTATAACACAGCTATATTTAAAAAAAAAATCGAAGTTTAGTTAAGAATCATTAAGATTCAAAATTTGAATAATGTGTACACATACGTTTTGATAAATTAAAACTTTGAACATTTTATAAATATTAAATGATATAAATCCCATAGATATTTTCACAAAATTTGAAGACGGACACTTTTGGGATGCACTTCCACTCACGGTTAATCTTACTGGGGACTTAAAACTGGGTAAATACTGTAAAGAAATAAAGTTTCATTTCTAGAACAGTTCAAGCATTGTTAATAGGTCCATCTAAGAGACAACCTCTGACTATGAAACATGAGCAACGGGAAATTTTACCAAAGTGTACCAAAAGAAATAACGCTTATGAACATAACAGACAGCATTATGACTAGACAAAGGTAAACTCGGAACAGAAATATGTCCAAAACCTTTGCTATATCCTGCCAGGAAAAGTCTTCCTCTTTGACATCATCATCCAAATTAGCATCGATGTCCGCCTTCTTTGAATGTAGACGCACGTCTTTGCTTTTAACGTTGATGACAGATACAGAAGAGTTACGTCCTTTGCAACAGACTCCGTTGCTCTTCCAGCAAACGACTTTCGAAATAATTCTTGTTATTCTACGCAGACACCGGGGGATTTCCTCCTCCTCAGATGTAAAGTTAATATCTATCACGTGTATAGTCAGAAGAACAGAAATCACACCCATTCCCAGCATCAACAGCAAATACACAGCTGAAAAAAAAAAACAATAGATTAAAAGCAATAAATTGTGTAATATCCGTCCATGTATACACTTTTTAAAGTCATTCTGAAGACCAATTTTATACGAAATAAAAACGGGTAAGTTTTGTATTTTCAATGCCGAGGAGTAGCTTAGAAATATTTATGATATTTTGGTTCTAAGTTGTTTTTGTTGAGAATATTTTCATTTCTTTTTCTTTTTTAAACTTTGAAAAAAATGTCGTAATGCTTACATAAGTAAGATATTGTTGTTGATGTTGTAGGAATATTGTCTGAAACCAATGTCAGGTAGACGGCAAATGCTAATAAAACTGTGAGGCAGTACCCAAGCTTCTCTCCAGCATCAACTGGAAGTTTGAAGACATAGCAGCTCATAAATGCAAGTAAAAACATCGGGATAATGGTTGATATCAAGTGATACGATGACCGACGTTGGAAAGTGAAAGTAAAAGTGAGTGTAGAGTATTGCAACAAATCACGTGTTGTGATGCTGACGTCACTTGAACTGGATATATAGTCCCATTCACCATTTTCCTGATAAGCTGTCAGAACTATAGGCATTTTACCAAGCCTTAGCTCTACTTCTGTTCGAATGTATCCCCTGGTTGTTAAGGTAATGGAACATGTCTGTTTGTCAAAGGGATAAAGAGTAGTATCAATGTCACATGATGTCTCGTAGATGTTCCCAGGGGACCACGTGACTTGCCCACTCTTATCAATCCTCATTGGAAGGGTTTTGTCGCTAATAACACCCAGATCATTAATGCTGAAAATAAGACTGTATCTTTATTATACATGTAGAAGAAAATGAACATAAGGTTTGTAATATGATAGATTTACCCCCCCCCCCCCCAAAAAAATTGTTTATTACCTCTCCACAGTCATCTGAGATTAAATGAAAAAGCTGTGAAAATGTCATTTTTAAAAATTCTGATGGTAATATTTTTTACGCATTCAAAGAAACATAAAATTTGTTGACTTACGAATTTTCCACCACCACGGAGGGTGTAAATAACACAGTTTCCGTGCTGTATATTCTTTCTATGTCTGAAGAGTATGCTGGTTTTGAAGCCCATGACAGCCGGGTATCGTCCCAAGACTAAAGATTAATATTATACAGGATAGAAATCTTTAAAAAAAAAAAAAAAAAAAAACTACATTTCTCTACAAATCTTGAATAGGCGTTATTCAGTAGAGAAATAATTCCTGCTAATGCTCTTTGTGCTTTTCAGATTGAGAATATATATTTAGTGAGGCAAATCAGTGAATTTTCGTTAAATAAATTAAAAGTATTGAAATTACACCAAGACTTACAAAGGAAAAGTACGCCACTGTTGTCATTGTTTGATCTCTTGTGTTCTGGAATAAAAAAAACAACTAAACTTCAATTTTGATGAGATGACAGAGCTTTACTAATACAACAAGAATTCTGAGAGTACTGCATGGGCAATACCAGTTCCCTACCGGCAAGTGTAATGTGGTTCCCCTTAAAAATTTTTAAAAAAAAAGGCTTAATTCCACTAAAAGTCATTGAAGCGGAGCAAACTGCACGTCTATCTAAAAAGGCGGTAATTCCAATAAAAATCATCGAAGCGGAACAAAATATTAACTTGATACGTAACTCATTTTAGATACATTCACATACCAAATATCAGCTCAATGTTTTGAAGAAAAGTATGAAAAACCAAATGGGACAGACAGACAGACGAGAAGGAACTCAACCAGTAAATCACGCTTATAACGAACATGCTTATAATGAATTGACGCTTACAGTGAAGTAGTTTTTCGTTCCTCGTGGCTTTAAATCGCATTGTAAACTTCAGTAACAGATATTCAGGCCCGTAGGAAGCAATTTCAGTTGGGGGGGGGGGGGCACAGTTATACATTTTCAGTTGGGGGGGGGGCACTATCAACTACCAAAATTCCTTGACAAGCAAAAAAAAAAAAAAAAGGTCATCAGACGTTTTTATTGAGGGGGCACAAGCATATAGTAGCTATGTTTTCTATAGTAAGCTATATATCGGCAAAATTATTTGGGGGGCACGGCCCCCCGTGCCCCCCCCCCCCCGGTTTCTAAGGCCATGGATATAACGAATTAGGTTTATAAATCGTCCGTACCTGGCTCTTCGTTATAAGCATACTTTACTATAAGAGTCTATAATTTTTAAACTGCAAAAAATTGCATTTTTATGCTGTGGAAGGTCTTTAAAACGCAAAAATTTAATAATTTTATTATAATAATTCTGAAACTCTGTGTCACACATGTCCTGTAAAATTTGAATATTACTTACAATGTCTTTGAGTGACAGGATTTTGACATTACAGATGACAATGGTTTTCTGTACCGGTCTGGCGTCCTTATTGTAGCCATTGAATATCTCATTTCGTAAACTGGTTTCCAGTGAGTGGGAGTACGCGAACACTATAGAAACTGAAAAATAAAATAAGATAAACGTATTTTTAAATCCATATTTGATGTTGACAATAGGTTATTTCTGTTATTTCAGAGCTTCCCCAAGGGAGATGTGGTATTTAAAAATTTTGGAGGGTAGGGATGCTGGTAAGACAACTTACCTCCCTCCCAATTCTTTATCATATATTGAATTCATACATGTATATCGGTACTGTAATAGCTTAATGGTAAAAAAATTAATTCATAAACTATCAGCTTCACCTAGGCATATTTTCATAGTTTAAAAGAACACTGAAAAAAAAATTAATTAACTCCAGTAGTGGTATAAATTCGAGAGCTTTCTATATAATTATGTTTGGAAATATTATCAACATTAATTTTTAAACAGAATTCCATACCCACTGATATATTAGGAGTAAACCACCCCAGGAGCATATTCACTTCTTTGTAAAATTAAGGGAAATTCCTTACCGGTGTGTAAATGAATTAATATTTTTTCTAACACATCTGACATAATAAAATCTTTAGACACCAATGCACCCTAACCCATATCAAAAATATGTAAAATAAATAAATAAATAAATAATAAATAAAATTTAAAAAAATGTATGATTAATTGCAGTGATGAGGGTTTGGAAGCTTTTTAAATATGCCACTGGGTTTAAAGAAAGCTATGGTAATTATATATATCATGTCATCATAAAAACATTACAGAAAATCAAATTATGCATAACTTACCTAGATCTGCAGTTAAACATAATACAAAGATGTTCATTCTCTTTAATCTGATACTAAAATTTGTATGAGATTTTTTTGTAATTCCGCTGAAATGCTATGGTACACTAAAGAATTTAAATGCCGATTTCGTTATTTTCTCATCTATATATGTATAGCAATTACGCGTCTCCGGGTGCAACATACAAATGTTTCGTCAAATTTGTTTAACAGATTAAAAGTTCATAGCGACTATGTTGAAGTCATTTCAGACAATTCTAGACAAAAGAATTTTGAATTTTAAAGTATTGGTCTCCTCTTCGACCACTCAAACTTAAATTACCTACAGCTGTACATGTAGGTTCATTTTAGAAAAAAAAAAAATCTTGACTTTGATTGGAGTAAATGAACTATCCCTGTAGTCTCAGCTATGAAGGAGAAAACATAAGTATCTGTAATGTTCAGACTAAACTGCTTTGTTTTTTCAAAAATAGATTTTAGAGGGAATCCATTTAATATCTTAGACTTTTACCAGTACATGTAATGGGAATTACTCGCATCGAAATAATGCAAACAGCACATCAAGAAAAAGAGATAATTAGTGATCTAATTTGATTTTGTAATACATGATATACATGTACTGCAATTAAAAAAAAATAATGATAATAATTGTGACAACTCAGATCCTTTGATCCGCTCAAGTAGTCTAAGAATGGTGTAATTTGAACAGCGATGTAACTGAGCGGATAAAAAAATGAGAATCAGGCACTTTTATCCAATATTTTCAATGCAGTGTATGACATGCATTTAAACTCGAAGCAATACATGCATTTATAATCGAAGCAATACACAAAAAGAATGATTTTCTTTTATCAAAGAATTTAGAAAATTTGATAAATGTTCCGATATAGATCACAATGACCCGAAAAAGTTAACTTATTGTATCCAAATTCTAGAGAAAGTGAACAAGGTTGTTACATCATGATCGCCCAGTAAACTACGTTTCATTGTAAAGCATTCAATGGTCAGAGAAAATTTATTAACAGAGATTAAAAACTGAATTACAAATGTTAAAAGGAAGCACTTAGCAAAAAATCACTAACTTTCCCGGTGTCCAAATATTTAATTATTAACAATACCAGTTTTGACGTCATTTGTAAGCTAGAAGCTCTTGGTTCTTCAAGGTCACATGTGTATAAGAAAGCAACCTTTTTAAAAGATTCTCACCAAGATATAGTTTTCTTTGCTAAAGTATAGTCTTCTTTCCTTGAAAAACTTCACATTTATTTCCTTATCTTTTGGATTCGTGATTTCCATTTAGCTTGCATGCACATTGCTTGGAATTCTGCCTCATTGAGAAGGTAGTAAAAATGCATTGTTCTGACATTTACTTTTAAGAATTACATCTGTGTTCGTATTTTTGAAAAAAAAAAAATGATTACAGTGAATTTTACAACCAACTTCCTATTTTGAAGAGACTTTCTGAGATTTCATAGGGAGTTTTAATGACGCTACTTTCATTAGAAATGTTTTATTTGGTTAAATCTACATACAATCTTTAAAATATTTGTACAATAATTTATCTTTTTTGGTAAACAAGAATTTCACTGTTCCATTTGAGAAATAAATGATTCTGTAGATACATTTACGAGTTTTTTTACTCACTTTACATGTTCATTGATTAAGGACAGATGATACAAACAAAAAATGGATGTCTGAATTGGTATATTTTTGGACCTATTTTTGTTGTAAATGATGCTTATAATAAATTTCTAAAAGATTAAGAAATTTTTTAAACTTTTTTTGATGTTTAAAATTCTACCTTTCTGCAACCACCTTATTATTGTGAAATTTGAATGAAAAATTAAAATCTTAGCGGTTAAACTTATATATTTTATTTCTGTAAACATGACTTAAGTTGCTAGTTTCAAGAGTTTTGATAAAAGTTTATTTGCATCATCTGTCCTAATTCACATACATAAATACCATTCTTATAAAATAGACATAATTTTAATTATTCTAAAGTCTCTATTTGTAAAATTCGACGGATTCGCAGGATCATTAAAGTCTTTTTTCAAAGCTTTACAAAAAATAATCTAGAAGAGTGCAGGGAGTTAAAAGTTGACGAGAAAACATATTGGATTCAGTTCTTTGAATTTAGATTCAATATAAATTATTTCAATTCGTTTGCCTTTTACAATGAAATTAAAGTTAATTTCTTTCATATTCCGTCTGTTTTATCCTAAATGATACTGAATATTTTACTATTGACATTTTAAACATCAAGTACAAGTTTCGATTGGCAATTTAAGCACGCTTCCCGTGTAAATAAGTTTTGATATTGCTAAGGAATTAGTTTAAAATATTTAGTTGACAGCTTAGATATATTCTTGCGAGAAATATTTGTATAGTTACCCACATATAATTCATCAAATTGAACCTTGGTTAGGATAAGATAAACTACATTTTAAACCCAGGATTTGTAAACATAAAAAAACATGTTTGGGATTTATACATCTCCTTCACATTTCTTAATTTGCTGAAATCTCCTTCGTGCCATAGGAGTCATATAGGATTTCTACCAAACTAGCCACAAAGCATTTGGATTGTAGAAAAATGACAATGTAGAATAATGACCCTGTGTCATTTTTTTTGAAAGAAAAAAAAAACCTGCATGGTTTTGGTAGGAAAATTCTTGGTAGGCAAATACATAGGGGTTAAATCACGCAGCCTTATGAAGTGTTCATTTCTAAAAAGCTTTAACGTTTAAATGACAAAACTAAAAGGTTATAGTATACTTTACATTAATAATATATACAAGATGTTTTATCCCCATTAAAGGAAAACCTACCAAGGCTATAATGATGTTCTATCACTATTAGAGCAAGAATACATGTATACGTACATTCTTTGATTTGTTTTATCACATTTAATAAAATAAGTTTCCACAATTATAATTATTTAAAAAATCAAGACCATTTTCTTAGCTGGTGCAAGAAAGAGAAACATATAAATAAAAAATGTAAAGCTTCCATAATTGTAATCCTCTTTGATTTTACCCTACCCAAATAAAGATTTGCGTAAAAAAGGAAGATCGATAAGAAAATTCGATCTCGTATATATCTTTGATTTTCTTGCTGTCTGATACGAGGTTTAAAATATAAAAGGGTTTTTAGGATAAAAATGGAAAAGATTTTTTTTTCTTTCACTGGGATTTTATTTACATATGTGCATTGTAATGCATATTGTTTTAAATTCGTTACGATTTACATATTTTATCTATGTAATGTTACATGGTTCTTTTTTTTTATTGAATGGCTCTTCTGCTTAATTGAATGATTATAATTTTCCCAGAAGCATGGCTGAGGCCTGTTATAATGTTAACATGTACTCAAATTACACTGATGACCCAACGGTAAATCATTTAACACTATCCATTCAAAAACGTTAAGTGTAAATCTATGGTTAGTAGAGTAGAACCATGCAACAAGTAAAGGTTACGTGTAGGTTTTATTAACAGTACGCATTTGAATAAAGCACCAAACAAACATTCATATGCAATGAGAAAATATGACATATCGGGTAATGCGAAGAACAACGAGGGAGTCATGATGCAAATGTATTTTGGCTAACATTCAACGCGACGACACGATGTCTGAACAGGACAAAAATTATAAAAATATAAAATTTAAGTATACTGAATGCATACAAGGGAAATGGATAGTGAATGTCAAACCCTTATTACATGTACATACTTGGTCAAATAAAGAATATTTTATAGACCTCCTCTCAGCATGTGGATAATTTAGGGCATCAGCTGCACATCTACTTTTCATAACCAGATAGCGGTACAACAAATAATTTCCAACTGGGATTTCAAGTTGACATATCATTTACCTTGCATGTTAGTAAACATATAAGTGTTGTTCTTCAAGCATATAAAATTCTTCTTCATTAAGTACGCAAACAAACCATGCACGCAATGATCTAATTGTAAACTATTTTCTGTTGTATGAAGTTATCGTCCTTAAAATTTTAAATTACTTTCATTTTTTACATAAATAAACAATTCTGCTGAATCCATTTTAAAGTAAGAAGATCAAGAATAAACATTTTATAATTTCTTCTAAAAAAAACGATAAGAATTTTATCTTTGTTGTAGAATAAGTATTTTTCCCATTATTTTTATGGAAATAAACTATGAAACATCTACGTATTGTGCATATATATAGTTTATTTTAGTTGGTTAAAGAGTAACAGAGTCAGACGGACAAGAAATAAATAAAGAGAGAGAGAAGAGATTGGGAAGGGGGGAGACTGAGAAAGTGGAGAGAGTGGGGAAGAGAGAGAGAGTAGAGAAAATGGTGGAGACAGTGTGTGAGAGAGGGGAAGATTGGGTTAGAGAGAGAGAAAAAGGGGGAGGAAAAAGATGGGAGAGTGGGAATGGGGGAGGATATTAACATCAGGGA